GGGGGGGGTATATAATCAGTCTCAGGCCCTCTTAAAGAGAAGGCATGGGCGAAAGGGTGGGAGTTAAACTAAGGACTAAAAAATTAAAGAACAAAAATCTGTCAGCTAGGAGGGGATGGGGGTGGGGAAAGGGCCGATTCCTGGGATTGCTCCACCCCATTGTCCCCCATCCGACCACCTTGCCCACCTGCTGGGAACTGCAGCGCGGCAGCATGCCAGGTTGAAATGCCATTCACTGCTGTCCAGAAAATGCACAAAAACAAAACAAAAACAAAAAAAAAATCAACCAATAAAAATCCCGAATTTAAGGATTAAACCCATATTTACATTTTACACATTTTTCTTTTTCAAATTTTCCACTTTGAAAGGAATTCTTTCCATTTTTTTTAATACTGAGATTTTTCCCACAACGAATGTGGCTGATTTCTGTCGATATTCGTGCCCTCCATCTTTCTCTGTATCTTCCCCATCCCCCACTCTTTTTCTCTCCTTTTTTCATACTCCCTGTTTTTAGCCCACCTTCTGCGGATTGGTGGCCCTCACACCCTGCTCGTATGTGATTCGCTGGCTGATAAGATATTGGGCTGCCTGTGTGGCGGCTGGTGATCCGGTAATGGTAACTTTACGGTTTCTGGTGCCAGGAACAAACTCTCCCTTTTTGGAGATCTGAATGCGGGCTCCCGTCAGTTCTTGGTACTCCACAAGCGTTTTGCCTCCCTTCCCCAAAATGGCACCCACCAAGTTCTCCGGCACCGCAATCTCCACCACATCTTTGTGACCCTCGGTCAGCTTCTCGGTGGCCAGCAGGGAGCTCGCCATCAGTGGGGAAGCGGCGCTCAGGTAGCCATTGGTGGCTCCGGTGGCGGCGGCGAGCGATCCTAGCGTGAAGCCTCCCAGGCTGGTCGCCGGGTGGCCGGAGCTGGTGGATGCGTCGCTGGCGTAGGAGGCTAGCAGGTTGGCGGCCGCGGCTGCGGCGGGGTTGGCGCTTGCGGCCACAGCGGCGAGGACTCCTGAGGCAGCCGCAGGGTTGAGACCTAGGCCCAGGGAGTTGGTATTGTATCCGTAGCTGGCTAACGTGTTCAGCGCGGATGTGATAGTCAGCAGGTCGTTTCCTGAGAAGCTGGACATGGTGGTGGGGAAAGCGCCCACTCCAGCCAGACTGGCCTGCCCTAGGAGACTGGAGGCCGTGGCTGCCGCCGCAGCCGCAGCAGCCGGCATCACCTCTGCCGAGTTGGCGTATGGGGAACCGGTGGGGTTGGAGTTGGCCACAGGGCCGGAGATGTTGGAGTAGCTGATGTTCAGACAGCTGCTGCTCTGTGGGTCCTCCTGGATCTTCTGCACAATGATCTCCACAGCCTTGCGGTTCTGCTCAGGCTCCCCGCTGATGGTGACAACGCGCTCCTGCAGGTTGATGCCTTCAGGTTTCTGTGAGAGCTGGACCCAAGCGCCGGACTGCTCCATGACGGCCTTCACCGTGGCGCCACCCTTGCCGATGATCAGCCCTGCCGTGCTGTTGGGCACTATGAGCTTGGCCTGAAGAGAACATAAGCAGAGAGGCCGGTGTCAGTTAATGAGTCACTCTCCAGCACTCTTGTGCTAGTTAAGCATGCACCATTTTTTTTTCAGTTTTGGGATTTACAAGTAGGAAGAATGTTTTTTATCCACTGGGAGCCCATTAGTGGCAACACAACCAGTGTCTTTGAACACAAACAACTATTTTTGCGGCAACTACACCCATATGTATTGTTAACCAAAGCCTGGACTTTTCACAGCAATTACTTTGTTTCAAGTTGCCTTTTTATCAATTAAACCACAAATCAAGTTACATCTAACGGATGAGTTTAATCTAGTAATTTAGCAGCACAGCAGCGTAGTGTTCTCAGAGAGTAAGTTTTAGACAATGTCTGTGAAAAACAATTTCCTCATTGATGGAGGGAAGAAAAGTGTAAACAGTGGTTACCATGGTTTCTTCCCTAACTTAGAAAGGCTTGCTCCTCTGATCAAGCAGTGACTCATGCTGGTACTTTTTACCAAATCTTCATACAGAACATACTGATCTTGTTAAAATGTTGCAAAAAGCACTGTTACTAGATGTGTTCATTAAGGTTTCTTTCCTAAAAGTATTTGAATTTGTTTCTATGTAAACGGTTTACATATCATGTTCTATGTATGAAACTGTATTTGGTGCTGTAACTGATCACCATTTTGAGCTTAAAAAATATTAAAATAACATAAAAGGATTAGATGCATTTTGTTTCTAGAATTTTCTAGATTTTTTCCAGATTGTATCACATTAGGTCGACTGTAAAATATTAACAACAACAAAATATTAAAAAAATTTGTTTATCTCAGTGTTGGAATTAACTAAACAATTAAAAAGATTTTTTACATTTTAAACTAATTTAAATACAGCTTAGATAAAATATACATATTAGATACACTTAAAATTAAAAATGTTGCCTTGGCAATTAATTAAACATGTTTAAGTTGAAGTGCTACAATTACTAAAAATAAAAATGTAATTAAAAATACTATAATAGTGTATAAATAATACTAAAATGACACTGGTTTATCTGAGATACAAAACACAATGAAGTAGGGTAAACGTACCTATTAAGCTCACCAAAATCTACATTGAGACATTTTTAGTGCACAAGATATTGGTTTCAGTACAAAAAGTTATGTTAAAATAAAATATTAATCTCTCACACAAAAATATTTAATTATATTTTAAATGACAAATGCATTTCAATTAAGATATACATAATTAAATGGAAAAAGTCCGGCTGTGATTAATGGGTACATGTTTGTACCCTTTAAGCACACCCCTGTTCCCATTAAGCTCACATCATGTTTTATTAAAAATTCCTGTTTATTTTAAACAACCTTTTTAAAGAATAATTGGAAAAAAAAAATGTTTAATGTACAAAGTCAATCACAAAAAACAGAACACAAAAATCAAGCAACAAAGCACTCAATTTGATCAGTTATATATTCATAATGAAATGTCATTTAAGCACATTGCAACATCTAGACTAGTCCATGTTCAGCTAAGTAACACAAATTCAAAACTCAAATGAAACAAACCAATAAAACATTTCATTCATGGGGATGAACACAGAAACTATCCTCATTATGAAGCCTCTTATTAAATGGATGTCAACCTATCTATAGTCTCTTAAGGCTGGAATACACTACATGATTTTTGCCTTGATTTTCCACAGATTTACAATCTGGAGAAGTTTACAGTAGTTGCCAAAGGTCAAAGCCAGTCTGCAGATTTGAGTTGACAATCCATAGAAAATAAATTAACTTAACTTAAAGTGACAACCATCACTTAATATTTAAAGTCTGTTTATGAAGTATTTACATAGATGTTCAATGTGGAAGAGCTTAAAGAGAGCACACTGAGCATAATTGGAGCAGCAACCATTTTTAATACATTTGAGGTAATATTTATTAAAATGACAAGATTTTGCAAAATAAATAGTCTAGGTCATGTATTAAGTTCATACATATTTTAATATGAACAACTATTATTAACAATATGTATGAAATTATACTTTTTCTTATTGATGTCACACTGAAGCTATGTGATTTTAATAGTAGTGAACCCTTTAAGCTCACTTTAAAATAATATGAAATCTTTAAAAATTACAGCACTGTAAAACCACAGACCAGCAATAAACTGTCAGTTTATAATATTATGGATATAAAAGTACAAGCCAGTAATGCCTGTGAAGTAATATATTAGCGTAGCACACAATCTTATACAGCTAGTCAGCTAACTGTGTTCTGTAGCATCTGCGCCATGTTGCTAAAACTATCTTTTGGATCTAACTGTAATTATTTCCCACATCTAAATTCCAGGATATAATCTGAAAAAGTCTAAATGTTAATCTCTTAATTTTACAATAAGTAGTGAAACTTACCCAAAATAAAGGCTTAAATAGCTATAAAAAAGGGCACATTTAAGAAGCTACTCTTTTGGTGAAAGTTTTTTGACAGACTTTCAGACTGACTGACTATATCAAAACAAACATGAGACAGGAAGCAGAAAACAAAAAATATGATTAAAATGATATTCTTATAAAAATTACAAGAGGGGAAAACTGCAGATAGCTCTTACTTTTTCCTTGAAAATGCACGCTTCAAACAGAACAGTCAATGAAGACGAAGAAGAGAATGATGTGTAGCTCCCGGCGCCGATTTATACTGGAGTCGCACCGGTAGTGACGTCATGGCTGTCGCCGGCCAACGAGTTGGTGTTTTTTCAATGTATGCTTCAGACACGGGTCACGACGAGGCGTTCCCCATAGCGACCCCTAGAGGACGCAGTTCGAAGTTCCCATGAAAGGGAACTGCAGCACTGATGAGCCCAGAAAATGATGCATTAGAAGATAAATATAAAGATACTTGTGTGTTTTGTTCTTGTACTTCCTGAGCTGTGAATCACTAGGTAAATAGAGGCACCTCCTGAAAAGCATCGACTCCCAGGGGTCAGTGTTTCCATGGAAACTCAACTCCAGCATTCAAGTGGGACTGAAAGGGAGTCGGAATGATGCATAGCAACCAACCAGCCAACCACCCTCCCACCCCCCACCTTATATGCTTGCAACCATTCACTTAAAACCACCAGCTACTTGTGCCATAATACCGCATGTGCGCACATGTTTAAGAAAACATCACACACTTTTTGAATTTCGTCCGTGTAACTTGACATATTCGCTTATTAATTGAACCAACAAATTAGCACTTGATCTCTTCGATCATTGCTGGATACATCTACGCACCATAGCATTGTGAGAAAACAAAATATGCGGTGTGGTGTTCACTTTGACAGTTAATTACTCTGTATAATGAAAAGCTCCAGCCCTCCGAGAGCACTTTGACAATGCTGGATTCAGAATATTTGCACTGTCAAAATGACAGATAGAGAGATGAGAATGGTAAAAAGGGGAGACGAGAGGAGCGAGGATGTGTGTGTCTGTGGGGGCGTGTGCTTGTATGTGTGTGTGTGTGTATGAACAAAGCAAAGGGGAGACTAGAGGAAAGCAGAGTGAGTGAGAGAGGTTGGGGAGGGGGTGGTGATCGGCTCAGCCTTTACGTTTGTTTCTTTTGTGAGCTCTTTCATTCTTTTCACTCTTTGCCTCAAGGTCTGCTGAAGCTCGCTGCCCACAGACATGTCTTTACAGAGGCTGTTTAGCCTTGCCACTGTAGCTCGAACTCTCATTCAGCTGAGCCGAATTAGCATAGAAATGAAAAACTGCCGACAGGAAATTTCATGGACTCCTACATTCACCTTTTATCTTGCTAGAATAAACAGAACCTTGAATAAGGAATGTTTTGAGCAAAATAATTGTAATCGCGATTAGTGTTTAATGCAATGGAAAGCAGATTGTTTTTGGCACCAGAGACATACTGTGATTGATCTGTACATATGCAGTGCAGTCCAAAGGTCTGAGACCTCCAGTGAAAATGCTTCTATTTTGCCAAATTATCTATTAGCAGATTAGACTTGTGACCTTTTGTTCAAAGGAGTTCACAAATTGATTAGTGACCTCAAAATCCGAATCTAACATTTTTTATTTCATTTAATTCTATTCCTTTTTTTTTTTTTTTTTTTTCATATCCTAAAAATTTTTTCAGGCTTCAATTGAATTAGATTTTAATGTGCTCTCAAACTTTTGGATTCCACTGTATGGACAACATATATTAAGACGGAGCTCATAGAAGTATTACAATTTAATAGTAAATTGTAGGGATACATTTAAATCATTTCACTATTAGTAACTTCCTGATTCAGATTTTGACTCCAAATCTTCATGTAGACCTTTAATTAAATGCACTGTATGCACACTAATAATTCCTTTTTTTTATTTATTAATAATTATTTAAAATAAAAAAACATGGTCACCTGGCTGATATAATGCCAATATTTATACGCTATTGTCCAAAAGTTTGGGGATGGCAAGATTTTTTTGTTTTATTTTTTTGAAAATAGTCTCTTATACTCACCAAGACTGCATTTATTTGATCAAAAATACAGTCATATTGTGAAATATTATTACAATTTAAAATAAATGTTTTCCATTTTAATTTAATTTTCATGTTTTAAAATGTAATTTATTCCTGTGATGGTAAAACTCACCAAAAAAATGTTTTTACTGACCTCATACTTTTGGATGGTAGTGTATAAATCGGTAGTTAATATATAGACAGTAGTCAATATATCTATATATATATATATATCTGAAGGTAGTCAATATATCTGTCTATTAGTGCTGTCAAATCTATTAAACCTGATTAATCGCATCCAAAATAAAAGTTTATGTTTACATAATACATGTTTGTGTACTGTGTATATTTGTATACATGTATATATTTAAGAAATATATGTAAGATATATTTATATTTATGTACAATTTAAATCATATATAAATATGAATATATATATATATATATATATATATATATATACACACAGTACACACACATGTATACACAAACTTGTATCCACACACATGTATACA